TTCATCTTTCATCTCGTCTGAACTGCAGTCAGTAGGGGCATAGGCAGATATGACGAAGAGACAACGACGAGTGTCCCTATCTTTTCGAATCCTTACTGTCCCGTTTAGTCGGACGGCGCACAAGCGACTATCTACAGGGATCCATTCAAGGAGAGATTGTTCTGCCCTACGATTCAACGCTGTACCTATACCAGCGAGACCCCGGGAAGCAGCATCAGGGCTACCGGATACACGAAGGGTAAATCGAGCTGCTTCTTTATCTTGACATGGTGAGGTCAAGTGAATGATGCTACTCGGATCCTGTATGCGCGTTTCCGAGACGCAGCACACATCGATGGCACGAGATTATAAAGTCCTAGTTAATGATGCCTGTTGCCCTATTTGAAAATAAATGCTCCAACATGTAGTTTAGAACGGGGTTTAAGGAGACCGGGAACGACGTTTCGCGAACTCGCATCGTTTGCATTAGCTGTGCACTGTGATAAATGAATGTGAGAAGAGTTAGTTGTGGAGATAAGAGAGGTATTAGGGGGTGTATGAAGGATTTGATTGTGACGAATTTGGTCTCGTGTGCTGTTACGGGTATGAGAGCGGTTGTCACTTCCCGGCTGCCCACACCGTGGAAGGTTGTTTCTTGAGGGAGCTGAAAAGGAAGATAGAATAAAGTTGGTCTTAGAGACCTAGGAGCGTAACCGCAGAGCCCAAGGGACAACTGCTTCAGGCCGGTCACGCACGGCCTTTTTATGAGAAGTTTATTGAGTGTTAGCTCCGCTCTTGAAAGCCCTTAGTGGGCACCCTTACCACTGGAGATGGAAATCTGTGAGGTAGGATGATATGTGACATTTTTAGGGTCGAACTTTTCTAACCCTTTCCTTCTTGAGAGAAGGCTGCATCGCTGCAGATGCTGGTTGTCCGAGGGAAACACCTTACTGCTGTCGCACCCCTCTGCAGTCAGCAGTACGACTTCGTCCTCAGACCTTGAGTTGCTGCTTTTAGTCTCATCGCTCTCCAATCGACCTGCCTGGCATGGTGGAACCTTCAGGAACATAAGTTCCAGCGAATATAGCTCGGTCGGGTCATCACGATAGGCAAGCCCGACCACCACGTCAAGGTAGCAGCATCGGTCGGGAAAAGGTTAGGGACGAAAGACTTTATCCCAATGAAGCAAATTTAAAAAGATAAAGTTCTGAAGAATCCAGGAGATTAGAATTTGAGAGAACACAAAGAATAGATGCACCTGTGCCATTGCAAATGATTTTGAACCATTTCATTCGAAGCCTCTAACCATTGGTTAGCACTGTTTCGTGGACCTCAACCAAGTAGTCTACACCCAATAATATGGTTCAGCCCAGTTGTCTGTGACTTCATGGATTTGTGTCACGTTTGTTTTTGGCCGCCTCTAGCTTTATTCCAGCCTACCCCTGTATCAGACTACCTCAATCGCCGTTGTTAAAGTTAAACGACTCATTATTTCAACTTTCGTTACTTTTTCAATATGGGATTAACTGAATCCCGTGAACTTAAACACAAAATGTTCAGACTTTTAAATCGAGAACCGAATATGAATGGCAATACCAAATTTTAATACGAATAAGAAATGAGAACTAGTGAAGAATCAGTTCGCACCATACAATAGTCTATTAATTCTGTAAAGGATAAGAGTACATCTGTCTATACTAGCTATCTAATCATGGTTTACTTTGATGGAATTTATTACCAATGTAACACCAAAGTTATTTAATGTCATCAATGGGTAACTGGTTCACAAATGAAATAGTTGTCTGTTACTTTCGTTTTTGATAAGAAATTCATGATTAGGCTGATTTTTCTGTAACTTAAAAGACTTTCAAAACATGAATTACTCTTTTTAAATCCTCTACTTTAAAAATAACGCTGAGGTTTACTACAACGTTATCAACATCCAATAATTGTATCGTACTTTCAGTCACTTTTTAACTCATCTGGTCTGAAGTTTAGGCACTTGTAGCTGGATTTGAAGGTCTTAGGTTTGATATCCGGTTCGGTCGAGAATGCGCTGAATGCGAAAATGCTGGTTGTCTGAGGGGAACACCTTACTGCTGTCACATCCCTTTACAGTTAGCAGTACGACTTCGCCCTCAGACCTTGAGTTGCTGCTTTTAGTCTCATCGTTCTCCAGTCGACCTGCCTGGCATGGTCTATTCCTACACCAGACAATACTTGTCGAGGTAGTCGCTGGTTAGGCACACGTAACACATGCACAAACTAGCCCAACTGATGATTATTTACTACTTCATTGGTTGATTCAGCATCCTTACCCAGTACCCTTTTCGTAACCCTAGCATCGCTTACTCGACAGTTCAAGTATATGCGAGGAATGCTTGAAGTGCACCTATGATCAAGTGCTAGTTACCTACTAACATCATCTATGCTGAATTGCCATGTTTACCAATCAATTAGAAAAAGCGTAGACAAATTCAATATCAAGAGTCGAGTCAAAGGAAGAGACAATCAAAATAAACGTGCAGTGGTGAAATGACTGATCAATAAAAACTAATCAAAGTCAACAGGAAGTGAATATAAGTTACCTCCTGTTTACAGTGGATGTGCTGCTCCATGTAATTTTGACCATATCATCGCAAAATAACTCAGTAACTATTTGAAAATTATTAAAATTGGATTGTCTATTACAACTGTATAATTAATTTCAATGATAACATACTAGAACGATTGAGGTTACGTGTGTTAATTCATTCATGTTATACTACTTTTTATTAAGAAGTAGAATGAGTTGTATTCAGGTATATCTGTTCAGCGATTGTGACCGGAAAAACTACTTTTTGTAACAAACGACTAATTCTGTTCTCTCTGGATCTTTCTTTTTATTGTAAAGGTGTTTCTTTTAACCCTCCTTGTCTAACCTCCTTTATGTGGACTTCTTTTTCAACATAACGGATTTTGGGCCGTTGACCATTCTTTGAAATGTAATGCGCAATTTATTTTCATCAATGACTAGTGTTGATTATGCTATTAATCATGGTTGGAACCACCAATTGACCAGCATTAGAAACTTGGGCGCATTAGAAGGCCGTTCCGCCCTAGTACAGGGCTCCTCGCCAGTGCGTATCCACAACCCTTCGCGCCCAAACTCTTTACCTCTATACCACTGAGTTGACATTTGCATTAGCAGTGCATGGTGATAAAGGAATGTGAGATGCTTGAGTCATGTAGATAAGAGAGGTGTTGAGGAGTGTAGGAAGAATTTGATTGTGACCGATTTCGTCTCGTGTGTTGGTACGGGTTTGAGGGCGGATGTCACTTACCGTCCACACACACCGTGGAAACGTGTTTCCCAAGGAACCTGAAAAGGAGGGTAGATTAGTGTTGGTCTTAACAAACTGGGAGCGTAACCGCGGAGCTAAAGGGAAAACTGCTTCAGGCTGGTCACGCACGGCCTTTTTATGAGAAGTTTTTGAAGTGTTAGCCACGCTCTTGTTTAGAAGGCCATATCGCCGGAGACGGAACTCCGTGAGGTAAGGTGAGGTGTGGCATTTTTGGGGTCGACCTTTTCTAGCCCTTTCTTTCTTGAGAGAAGGCTGCATCGCTGCAGATGCTGGTTGTCCGAGGGAAACACCTTACTACTGTCACACTCCGTCAGCAGTACGACTTCGCTCTCAGACCTTGAGTTGCTGCTTTTAATCTCATCGTTCTCTAATCGACCTGCCTGGCATAGTAAGATCTACAGGAAGATGAGTCCCAGCTTATATAGTTCGGTGGGGTCATCACGTGAATCACGCGAGTGCACCACGATAAGGTGGTTGCTATGGTCATGACCTCCATTTTGTTTGCGTTTATTCCACACGGTTCTACTTCTTGAATAATATACTCTAACCCTAGTCTCTCCGATTTCTGTTTACATTTCTACTACCTCTGCTACTATGGGATATGAAGTGATGATGCGTCTCTGTGCTAATGTCGTACGGCAGCTTGAACTGATGTACGTACGTGCGAAGATCTACGTTGTAACTGACTGACTGACTGGGGTTGTGGGTGGATGTTTTTGAGGAGTCCGATACTAGAACGAAATACAGGTTTAAGTATTCTTGGTCTTCAGTTGCTGTTTATCTTATTTTAGTCCATGATACAAAGTATGAAGAAACGTGGTCATTGACAGTTATTGTTATTGAACAACTTTAAATAATACAAGGTTTGTTTGTTAATGGATGTTTCACGAACAGCTACAATAATGGCCGGTAATTTCTTGATGATTGGAGACAATGATCAGACAGTGTCGAATGATGACATATACGAAATTATACAAGCGTAATATGTATGGTGCAAAACGCGTCCTTGGAAGAGTTACAAAGTAGCAAACTAAAATAGAAAACTAATCAATGAAGTTTAAGGTCCTTCTAAGTAGGAAACACAAATTGAAATTAATAAGGGTAGATTTCGGTACGGAAATAAGGAATTGAAATTTCCAAAAATAAACTACATAATTAAGAGGTTTTTAGGAGATTTCTGGGGATCTAGCATCCCCCAGTAACTGGTCACTAATCAATCGATTGTAAATATCTCGATAAGTCGAAGATCGAATGGTTCAGTAGTAAGATTTAAGAATGCAAAAAAACTTTGTACTACGGATATGGACCTTCTATGGAATATCGGCATCTTCAGGATTATGAGTAAGCTTTATTGACGGATTGTAACTAGCCTGAAATCTAGGTTAAATGATGTTCTATGCCAGCCACCTCCAATCACCTAATGCCTTAATGCTTCTTTAAATAATTCCTTTAGACATTATCGGTACTGTGTAAACTATGAATATCAATTAGTGACAAGCCTTAAATGTGGAAAAAGCACATATTCCCTGTTCATTAATAGTCATTGGTATCCCTATCATTGATGGAAATTTATGGTGAACGTTACTGTTACAAAAGCGTAAGAGGCTTTATGTACCCATCGTAAAATATATTTGCAAATGAATATATTTATGCATGACTACAGAAAAGGTAACTTACTTTTAAAGGTTGTGTTTTTGACAATGTACTACCGGTCAATTTTGAATTCTTCTCCACTTTCATAGCATCATCATTACGACTTTTTTCAATCATTAAATCAATCTGTTTTTCTGCCAACCGATTAGAAAATGATGATGATGATCCTGTCATTATATGTTGTATCTTATTTGCATTCTCTGCTTTAATTTGCATTTTATGGTTATTATTATTATTAGTATTTGTAAGTGAATTCAATGATTTTATTTGTATTGGTTGAATATATTTTAAGTATAATGTTTTACCTAATTGTAGGATAGCATTATTCGACACGAGTATTGGACCAGTAACACGTGTATTGTTCACACGTATCAATGCTGGTCCAGGTGGTTTTGCAAAACCATCCAATGATGGAGTAAGTAACAATGAGTAATTGGTGAAATTTTCTAAATCTAGCGTGGAATCAGATTTGGGTAATTTCCATTTTGGTGAAGTAGTAGTTGATGAATAATTACCAGTATTGTTGATATTATTATTATTATCATTCACATCTGAAGTTGTTGGAGTAAGTTGATTGGTTGTTAGGACAACACAAAATGTACAATGAACTGGTCGAATATCAGGATGTTCATTCTGATTATTTTGTTTGTTCATTTATTTGGTTTGAAACATAACACGAGTGCAAAGTTAATATATTACTTAAATCATTTAAATAAAGCAATATATAAGGAATAAACAGAAAATATAGCCAAATATTGTGTGAAGTCATACAGTCATAATTAACATAAAGTGTGGTAAAAATGTGCGTCAGCCCAAGATGAAATGAAATTAACAAGATGAATAACAGTAAAAGTAGAAATAATCATAACAACAATAATGGTTCGAATGATTAACCATTGTGAATGTATTTCGAAAAGACAAAGTGGAAAAATGTGTACGATGAAATACTAGAATTCAAGATCTGCAGGGAAAATAAGGAGTGAGTATGTCTGTCTCTAATAATTGATTCTGACCAATGTCACTTTATGTATCGAACCACTGATAAAGGTTATGACTCACACTCCATATAAGCAGCCTACATCTGCCACCACCAGTCAGTAACTTAATTGAAAGATAATGCCTTATTTCATATTACATTAATCAGCACCACTCACGGAAGTTAGCGGTTGTCGGAAATAAGTAACACATGTTAAAACCACCTCAGACGATGAAGATGAACAACTTTATCAACGGATCTGCTATCTTTGCCTGTATTCTATGTCTCAGGATTTCTCACTTGGTCACAACCTACTATACATGAGCAATGGCTTCAAAGACATAATCATGCAAGATAGTTGGCAGGAAACGCTGGATATCGGTTTTGCGTTATTTATCACTCATCAATAAGGTGTACCTGTAACACCGAAGGAATTAGGGCTCCTTGGAGGATTAGATCACGTGTCACCCAGTTTTACAGTCAGAGACGTTACCACTGAACTATTTGGGCCACGGAAGGCCTCGGGTAGAACTGAGATGTATTTATAATTGGACGATTAATGAATAGTGATCAATCAAGTGGAAAGACACATAATCAAACATTTCTCACCCAAGCCTGTCTTCTAATTGCACAGTTCATACTTCACATCCATGGAGTCACACAGAGTGAACTACAGCGCAGTACACTTTATACTTTGTTAGCAGACGAATCTCTTACGTAAACCACAAGTGACGCAATTTTTAAATTATTTGTTCTTAATATATTACATTATTTACATAGTGGCTTAAAGTCGTCTATCAATGATGACTAATGATTTCACTGGTAATCTCATACTAATAATCTCACTACTACTAATGTAATATTAAAAAAAAAACTTTTTTATTCCGATAATTTTTCTTCATTTCATGAAAGCTCAGTTAAGTGGGGCACGAGAATGATATCACTGACAAAAAGGATGATATTACGAGTAATGGTGGTAGTACCTGACTGTATGTATGAGACGAAATAAACAATTTCCTAGAACCCTTTTAGGTTGGAATTCACAGGAGACGACTTGAGAGATCTCACAAATACCCCTGACAGTTCTATGAATCACCTCGAATACTGTCAACAGATAAATACAGGTATTTCTTGCTACTGAGCTTTCATACTATGTTGTATTCACTGTGTAGTTACACAACAGACGTGGCTATCAATTTCAAGTTTATTTAGGAATCGTCAGTTAGATGTACGTGTATCCCAGAGTTGATGCTCGTTCCGTGACCCGAACCCAGTACTGTTCAGTTGAAATGCCATCTTGTTATCCATTTAGCTACTGAGTCTACTTGTTTCGTAATGGTTATATCGAGGCAATTTGTAAAGGATTTCCATATGCCAACAAAGACTGATAGGATTTCAGTCAAAATATCAACAAGGGGATAATCCAAAGCATTTCAAATTGAATTAGTCTAGATGGATCAATACAGACGATTTTTGCTACAGAGGGCTACCATTTGAAAAGGGGGAGGCCAAAAGAGTGACTATCAAAAGGGTAAGTGAAAAAGCGTACATATTAAAAAAAGTGGTAATTGAAAGGGAGAATAAACCTTTCAATGGTGTGAAATACGTGCGGTTTACCTTCTGTCCCTTTACTTAACGACTAATCAAAAGTATATTTTTCCAAACGTATAATGAAGAGTCTAATTTCAACGAATATTGTAATTTTTCAAATTTGATAACAAGGGGTTATTGTTATTACTTCATTCATATCGTACCATGTATCTATTTCGAACAGCTAGAGAATAGTCTATTTTAGATGAGTGTTTCACAAATGATTGGTGAATTTTTCTTGTAAATAAGTTTAAGGTACTCAAAAGTTCCTTTCTTTTAAAATTCACAAGTCATACTCGGCATTGTTCATTCCATGTATTCCTGTAAATATTGTCATTTTGCTATTCAGGTAAACTTAAGGAATTTTTTTTCAGACGATTGTTGATTTCTGTGATGATGATGATGATGATAATGATAATAAGAGTCAAATAACTAAGTTTTATTGAATAGCAATTCGACAAACAAGTGGAACATGTTGGATGAATCGTAAGCATTTATAATAACAGTAATAATAATAATAATTATTATTATTAACATAAGATTATCAAGTATGCATATAAGTCAGATTATCATTTATTCCAATTAAGATTCACGTTTGACAGGCAAAAATGCCTAAATAGTTTTTCCCAAATTAGTTAGCCAAAATTACACGTGCAACCTAAATTACAACAATATTTTATAGATGAATTTGTTGCAAAGACGGTAGCAGTTCATGATTTCAAACTTGAACCATGTATGCAAAACAGCATCACATTAAGTTGTTATTATATCGTGACTAGAATACTTACTTTTTAATGCACAGTCAATTGGTTGTTGATATTTGATCGAAATATTTTAGTTATTTCATGTATTTTCCATCTTTCTCATATTCTTTAATTGGATAGTTATCTTTCACACATTTCATTTTTATCTAATTATTTTCTCTCTACTTTCCGATCATTACGCAGCCTTATTTTGGTTTTTGCAATAATTTACTATTCTTCATATTTTCCGATTGACTAAGTAAGGTGACAGGTTTAAGTAAGTAATATAAGCATTCTAAATTCGAACCCGTACACGATGATGATTCTTCGATACAATAAAATAATTCTAGCGATATATTTGACTTGGAATCAAATACTTTATTTAAACAATGAATAGATACAAATTTATTTTACATACCATTACATTTTCACTGCAAATATTTACATGTAATTAAGTTTATGACCCTTACATTATTGGTCATTTGAAATTGTGTAACAAACATCTCTTCTAATAGATTATATCCTAGTTATTTGAAATCAACACACTAGAAAATCATGACCAGGGTAATAGCAATCATAATTTGTTGCCGAATTCAAAAAAATGATTGTATTCGTTGAAAGTAGACTTTTCACTATACATTTGGAAGATTACAGTTTTGATTGGTCGTGAGGCAAAGGGAAAAAGGGTAAATCGAACATACTTCTCATCATCAAATATCCTATTCTCCCTTTAAATGATCACATTTATTAATATGCATCTTCTTAACAGAAGAATGCTATCCGTCATGCTGTTTTGAATTCCAAGCACAATGTCAAAAGCTACACTGCTTTAAATATGATTGTAAAGCATGATATTTCATGGCTGCTGGATTTGATAGATTATATTTTTACCCCATATCTTGTAAACTGATTGAAAGATTCACAAAATGTTTGCGTAAAATACATAAAGCTTTTTATATTTTAACATACCTTATTTATCAATACATTAGGATATGATCCTACCATACTTTCCACTGTACCAAGTTTAATAGGAAATGTGTAGGCTCTTGTAAATAGATCTGTCAAATCAATTGTAAATCCTCTGGGATGTACTGAGTGATTCAAGTCACCAGAAACTTCAACTAAATATGGCATATCTGTTAATTTTTTACTGAGCCGTAACTGTTTTCCATTATTATTATTATTATTATTATTATTATTATTATTATTATTATTATTATTAAGTGAGGAAGATGATGATGAAGATGATGATGTTGAAGAATTTGAATGCAACGAGATTGGTGCGGTTTGAATCGGTTCTTTCGCATCTTTACCTAGTGCATATCGATGTCTAATCTGTATTACATTTGATACATTAAAGTTGGATCGTATCATTTCACGGAATTTTAAAACATAATCTTTATCGTGTAGTGTAATTTCCTTGTCAACACCTTGTCTGCAGTCGAAATGAAGAAAAAGAATAGTGAAAAATGAAAGAATTGCAATTTAGATAGCATTAAATACATTATATTGGTTAATTTCAGTAGTGTCGGAACTCGCAATCGAATATTTAATATATACGACTTAAAATATACGATTCAAAAGGGGAGTGAAGCAGTTGAGCGTTTTGACTGCCTTACTTATCTCCAGAGTCTCATCATTGCTGATGGCCTGTTGTGTCTCAAAATCTTAGAAAGGATACAAGAGGCTCGAATGGCTTTTGACAACTTGCGTCATTTATGGCGTAGGCGAGATATCCGTCTGCTAACCAAAGGACGAGTGTACTGTGCAGTAGTTGGCTCCATCCTAGTTTATGGCTGCGAAACATAGCCAGTCAGAGTAAAGGATATTCGTAGGTTGTTGGTTTTCGATCACAGGTGTCTCCGGAGTATTGCTCATATATCCTGGGACAATGGAGTAAGCAATTCTGGTGTTAGAAAACGAGTGCTAGGCAGGGATGGGAAATCAATAGATGAAGTAGTGAAACTTCACCAGTTGAGGTGGTTAGGTCGTGTATTACGAATGCCCAACCACCGAATGCCTCGACGAGTGTTGACACCTGGTTTACGGGTAGGCTGGAAGAAAGATAGCGGTGTTCAGAACAAAACATGGCACGAATCCATGAATTCCCTGACAAGTGGACTGAGCCATGTTAATATGTACATACTACCTGGTTGGGTGCTGCGAGACGATAGTGGCCGATGGTTAGAGACCCTGAATGACACATCTCGAAAACGTTTGCAATGTCACAGGTGCATCCACTCTTTGTGTTCCCTGAAATTCTAATATCCTGGATTCGTCATCACATCTAACTTTTTCTTTCTAAAGTTATATCACTCAGTTATATTTCGTGAAAAATATCTTCGAACCATAATCTTCACCAACCAGGTAGCCTACATCTACCGACATGACTCAGTCCACTTGTCAGTGACTTCATGGATTTCTGCCACGTTTTGGTCTGGCCGACTCTAACTTTCTCCCAACCTACTCCTAAACCACAAAGCCATAGCTCGTCGATGCAGTCGTTTGTTGGGCATACGTAATAAATGTCCAAACTACTTCAACTGATGGACTTTCACTACTTCGTCAATTTATCTGCCATCCCTACCTAGTACTCGCTTCTTAACGACAGCACTGCTCACACGATGGTCACAGGATATAACAGAAAAGTTTCGAAAACACCTCTGATCGAATACTAATAACCTACGAATATCTTCTACTCTTACAGGCCATGTTTCGCATCCGTATAGTAGGACATAGCGAAATGTTGCACAATACACTCGAACTTTAGTCAGCAAACGGAAATCTCGCCTGCGCCATAAGTGACGCAAGTTGGCAAAAGCCAAACAAGCTTCTGTATCCGAGCTGAGATTGCGTCAGTCACCAGGCCATCGGCACTGATGAGACTCCCAAGATAAATGAAGCGGTAAACGTGCTCAACTGCCTCACTCCCTATCACTAGTTCAGATGCCGATGCAACCCAGTCTTGAAGTAAGATTTTGCATTTCGACGGGGAGAACCGCACCCCGAACATGCTCGCATTGTTGCTTATGGTAGTCAGAAGACTGCATTCTGTCAGCATCTGCAGCATACTCTAAGTCAAAAAGCGAATCTCCAGGTAGAAGGTCCACCCCTGAAAAGTCAGACGAGAATAATTTTAACTTGAAAAGCGTGTCTACGACAAACCAAAACAAGAATGGGAAGCTCGGACATCCCTGACGGATACCATTTGAAGTGAAGAATCCCATTAACATTTCGCCATAAGCTCTCACTCGACCAGTGGTGTTTGAGTAGAGAGCTTGTATAAGGTTAATGTACTTCTTTGGTACACCTTTTAATGACAGACACTGACACAGAACCTCACGATCCACTAAGTCAAATGCCGCTTTTAGGTCCAGGAACACGACTATTGTTGGACGTCTAAATGTGTGTCTGTGTTCCAGGACCTGTCGTAGTGTGAAGATGTGGTCTATATAGCCACATTAGGTCGAAAACCAGCCTGGTTTTCTCGAGTCTGCTCTTCACGAGCTCTAGTTAGACGTCTAAGTATAATGGAGGCTAACAATTTAGACACTATATTTGTTAGACGATTCCCCTGTGATTGTCACAAGAGGACTTTTGTCTTTTCTTGTAGATTAGAACAATCAGGGATTGAGACCAGTCGGATGGGATTACGTCCAGTTCCCAGATTCTAACCTTAGATCTCAGTCAATCTAACTGCTAAAATTGGACAAACATCCCTGAAAATCTCAGGAGTAAGTCTGTCAGGCCCTGAAGCTCGACCTCACTTCAGATTTCTTACAGCCTTTTCCACTTCGTAAACAGTCAAAGGACATATTGATTCGCCAATCAGGTTGACTGGAGATCGTGGGTAGGCGAAGTGTGTCTGAAAGCCAGTTGGACCGATCCCTAAAGTGTTTCCACAACCTTTTGGATATCATTCCAAGATGTCTCCAGATGGGAATCATTTAAATGGCTGCCTAACTTTTTCTAATTGTTCCTAAAACATATTCTTTGCTTTGTTATCATTAAGTAGAATCCTAAGAGGTTTCCTTGCGGTGTCTTTCCTACGTCCGGTAAGTCGCAAACAAATACGCGCTCGCACTAGAACATGAATTGAATCTAGACATGTGCCCCAGAACGAGCGACAGTCCTCTATCGAACCCCTCCATCGGTGGCTCATGGCAATATGATCTAGTCGGGTCCAGCGTTGGGTCGGCTTTGGGGTTGCCACGTCAACAGATGCTTTTCCTTATGCCTAAAGTCAGTGTTTGCTAGAAATAGGCGGTTGTCTGAGCACAGTTGCAACAGACGGTCGCCATTATCACTTCTCTGAGCTGCGACACCATAAGACCCACACAGGTGTCTTTCCTTTACACTCAGTCTACCTACTTGAGCATTGAAGTCACCAGCCATTATTACTATATCGGAGGGCTTGAATTTTTGAAGATTGTTAGAGAGGTTTCTGTAAAACTCATCCTTCACGTCGTCTGAACTGCAGTCAGTGGGAGCATAGGCAGATACGACGAAGAGGCAACGACGAGTGTGCCTATCTTTCCGAGTCATCACTGTCCCGTTCAGTCGGACAGCGCACAAGCGACTATCTACTGGGGTCCAGTCTAGAAGAGAATAGTTCTGCCCTAAGACTCAATGCTATACCCACGCCAAGGAGACCACGAGAAGCACCATCAGGGCTTCCAGATACACGAAGAGTAAATCGAGCTGGATCTTTATTTTGACATGGTGAGGTAAAATGAATGATTCTACTGAAATCTTGTATGCGCGTCTCCGAGACGCAACATACATCGATGGCGCGAGATTCTAAATTCCTAGATAGGGAAACCTGTTGCTCTGTTTGACACAATGTCCGTACAATAAATGCTGCAACATGTAATTTAGAACGAGTTTTCGGGAGATCAGGAATAACGTTTCATGAGTCAGTCAGTCAGATGCAACGTAGAACGTCACGTCGTACGTATGTACATCAGTTCATGTTGCCATACCACATTAGCACAGAGACGCCACTGTCAATTATAATCGCACAGTGGTTCTACCATGCCAGGCAGGTCGATTGGAGAACGATGAGACTAAAAGCAGCTACCCAAGGTCTGAGGGCGAAGTCGTACTGCTGACTGCAGAGGGGTGTGACAGCAGTAAGGTGTTTCCCTCGGACAACCAGCATCTGCAGCGATGCTGCCTTCTCACAAGGAAGGAAGGGTTAGAAAAGGTCGGCCCTAAAAATGTCACACCTCCCCTAACTCACGGATTTCCGTCTCCTTGGGTAAGGGTGCCCACTAAGGGCCTTTAAGAACGGAGCTAATCCTCAAAAAACATTTGATAAAAAGGCCATGCGTGACTGGCCTCAAGCAGTTGTCCCTTGGGCTCTGCGGTCACGCACCAACACTAATCTATCTTCCTTTTCAGGTTCCTCAAGAAACAACCTTCCACGGTGTGGGCACTCGGGAAGTGACAACCGCCCTCATACCCATAACAGCACCAGAGACCGAATTGGTCAAAATCAAATCCTTCCTACACCCCCTAGTACCTCTCTTATCTCCACGACTAACTCTTCTCACATTCATTCATCACAGTGTACAGCTAATGCAGACGATACGAGTTCGCGAAACGTCGTTCCTGGTCTCCTTAAACCTCGCTCTAGACTACATGTTGGAGCATTTAATGTACGGACATTGTGTCATGCCCTAGTGCGAGCGCGTATTTATTTGAAGCTTACTGGGCGTAGGAAAGACACCGTAAGAAAGCCTCTTAGGGTTTTACTTAATGATAATAAGGCGAAAAATATATTTCAAGAACAACTAGAAAGACAGTTAGGCGACCATTTAAGCGATTCCCATCCGGAAGCAGGATGGAATGATATCAAAAAGGCTGTGGAAACAGCAGTGATATCTGCTAGTAAGGTTGACCTTAAGGCTAGAATGAAACCGTGGATCTCAGTAGCATCCACCGATCTGATGGATGCCCGAAAACTCATCCCACCTGGCTCTGAACATGATGAAGAACGAAGTCAACTTAGGCGCAGACTTATAAAAAGCCTACGTAACGATCGCGAACAGTGGTGGGTGGCGAAAGCAAAAGCAATGGAAAAGGCAGCGGCGATAGGCAACGGTAGACAACTTTTCCGACTTATCAAGGAAACTGGTATTAGGAATCCTAGTGTAAGCGAGACTATCTCAGAAAATGACGGGACTATTATTTATTCTCAATCCAGGAGACTAGATCGATGGGCAGAACACTTTAGGGATCAGTTCAACTGGCCTCGAGCCACTCTTCGGTTACCCACGATCTCCAGTCATCCTGAATGGCAAATCGACCTAAGTCCCCCTAGTCTTAATGAAGTTGAAAAAGCTTTACGAAATCTGAAGCGAGGAGGAGCTGCAGGTCCTGATAGACTGACCCCTGAGATATTTAAGGATGGTGGTCCAGTTTTAGCAGCTAGGTTGACTGAGATCTTAGGTAGAATCTGGGAACTGGACGTAATCCCATCCGACTGGTCTCAATCACTGATTGTCCCAATCTATAAGAAAGGACAGAAGTCTTCTTGTGACAATCACAGGGGAATAAGTCTAACTAATATAGTATCTAAAATATTGGCCTCAATAATACTTCGACGCTTAACGAAAGCTCGTGAAGAGCAGACTCGAGAAAACCAGGCTAGTTTTCGACCTGGACGTGGCTGTATAGACCACATTTTCACACTACGACAGGTCCTGGAACACAGACACACATTTAGGCGTCCTACAATAGTTGTTTTCCTGGACATTAAGGCGGCATTTGACTCAGTGGATCGTGAGGTTCTGTGTCAGTGTCTGTCATTGATAGGTGTACCAAATAAGTACATTAACCTTATACAAGCTCTCTACTCAAACACCACTGGTCG